ACGCTGTTTGGGAAGAAAGTCTATCTCATAATATTAATATTGTTAAAGAAAAATTTGATAAATTCAAATGTCCTCCATTTTATAAACTCATAATAACTACTTCTGGTTTAGATGCAATTGATCGAGACAAAGTTGTTACATTGATTCATTCTTATGGTAACAAAATAAAACAATTAGTATTAAAACCATTTTTGTTTTAATAAAAACACATATTATTTATTTTTTAGATGGAATATATACACCTCAAATCAAATGTTCAGATTCACTGACAACAGCAGTAGTAAGTTCGTGTTCACCGGAATCCTAAGATAAAATGCACAAGTTCAAATTTTTTTTTATCCCATACATTTTATATAGGTTAGGTACTTGTAATGCTAGGTTCATCATATCAGACATGTTTTTAATTTTCGATTTGCCTTCGGTTAGAACGAAAAATACTTCAATGCTTTTTTTTTTTAAGGACCACATAATTATTATAAACTACTTTCACAGCTAAATAAAATTGTATTGAACAGTAACGATTTACAAATCTATAATAAGGAATAAAATTTTGAAAACAAAATACAATTAATAACGAACAATAAAATCAGAAAAATAAGTTTATTATAAATATATTGTGCGGCAAGGCGGCCGGAAATTTATTCAAAGAATTCCCATGATTCCATCTGACTTGCCGTTTTCTTTCAAGCGGCCTCAATTCCCTGTTAAAGTTTTTTTTGCAATTACGATAAACAAAGGTCAAACATTCAGGTACGTTGGCGTAGATCTTCGAACAGTGTTTTTCATATGGACAATTATACATGGGATTTTCTCGAACTGGGGACCCGAATCATCTTATGATTTTAATTTCAACAGGAGATAAAACAAAAAAACGTCATATACTCAGAAGTTTTATAAAATTCTTTATCAACCATTAATTACTCATAATTTCTTTTGTTTCTGTATTCATTTTTAATAAAAATATATTTGTCATTAATCCCACTAGAAACATTTCAATACGTTTTCATTAACCGTTTTTTATATTAACTTGCCGATATTATTAAACGATAGAATTTGAATAAAAAATTGTATATATCATCGTCCGAAGGCAAATTAAACAACCAATCACGGGTGAAGTCGTAACGGGTCGGCTAGTTATGTAATATAATAGGTAAAAATATTTTGAGTATACGGTTTTTAACGGTCAATAACGTTTATTCAATTTTATCTGAAGATAAAAAATAATATATAATATTGTGTTTAGTATGTTATTTACGTTTATTGAGAGTAATAAACCTACCTCAGTAAACAATAGTCAGTACAAATACGTCTGTCAATTTGTAAGTGCGTCGTGCGTGTTTTCAGAAATTACTTTTTACTATTTTCAGAAATGAATTTTATGAAATCTGATTTAAGAAACCGACTATCTGATGAACGCAGTGCCGCATGTACTTTATTAAAAGTTACTAATTATAAACCAAATATCAATAAATTGGCATCAAGTATTCAACAACAAAAATCACATGAAAATAAATAATTAATAAAGCAATGGTATTATAATTTTATACCAATACATTAGTACTTATATAATTAAATTACGATATTTTTTTTTACAATATTCAATATAACAAAATATTTTTCATGGCACGCTCGGAAAAAAAAAAAAGGTAATTTTTGACACATAGTGTTCAAAAGGTTTGGCAGCCCTGGTCTAGGATATTCATGCTTAAGTTTCATTCGTTTCAACCGTTTACTTTTTATTTATACTTGCACATAGGGATCGTAGGGTTCAGCTTGTAGACATAGTATTAATGTATGTTATTATACAATTTTTTTAAACATATTTGAAGAGATATTATGCAATATCAAGTTCTGTCATTTTTCAATCATATCTGTATAAAATATTTTATATTTGATTAACAAAAATAAAAATAAAAACTGTATTACTGAACATTACTCCATCACAAGCGAATATTGATTCAATATTTTGTTTCTGTAGTCAGCCGTTGTCACAGGTTTTAAAATTAATACTCCAGATACACAATGACACTGGAATATCCCTAATAAATATCTGGATTAAAACTCATTATAAAAACTTCCACGCCAAACTGAAAGACTCCAAAGGAGCCCGTTTTTACAAACTAGGAAGAAAAACCCAAAATAGGCGACTTCAATCTCGAATACCTCAAGACACCCTCCTAACGGACACTGAAGAGATCTCGTCGGAAGATGAAGAATAATTAACAAAAAATACTAAACTTTAATTAGGAATCATTATAGCATTATTATCTTAAAATAAATGTAAATATTAAACCACATTTTTAATCTATTGTACTTGTAATAGCACCTAATGTGCTGAAACATTTTAAAATAATAAATAATAAAAAAAAAAAATTAATACTTAACTATAAAAAAATAATAACAATTAACATCGTTGCACGTCTGCCGGTCAGCCGTCCACCCAATAGCTGTAATTCAGTTGCTTTTTATCCAGTTGCTCCCACTCTTTCCATCGGCCTTGTATTTCATAAATCACATTCTATTTCATTGTCAGATTTTACAAAAAAAAAAAAAAATAATAGACAAGATTTGTTTTAACATTTTCATATTTAATAATACCAAAAAATCAAATGGCACGGCCTTTGGTAAAAAATTAATAAAATTGCATTACAACAGAGTGACTAAAATTAACTATGTAAACAAAGTTATTAAATACCAAATTAAGTAAACCGAACATACAAAATAATTATACAAATATAAAAAAATATATATAGGTATATTATATATTATTACACAAATAAATGATAAAAGTTTAGTTGTTAAAAATAAGTTTTTTTTTTCTAAATTAATTAATGTCATTTTAACAGAGGAATGCAATTTTTGCAATATAATATGACAAAGTAATAATAATGAAAACAAATTTACAGCCAATCAAGTCATGTCTAGGTCAATGTTTTTCTGTTTGTATGTTTTACTTTTGCAGTTACAATTATTAATAGGTATTATTATTGATATAATTAATGTTAAAAATATGTTTCACCACACTTACACTAATTGGTAACACTTATACAACTATTTGGTTAACTGCAGGTACAAATTAAAGAAAATCAATAAATTAAAACGCGTAACCAAGGTATGCAGTGCCAATTCAGAAATCAATTTTTTAATAATTGTTTTTCTAAATTAGTATTAAATCCAATTAATATATAATATTGTAATGAAACATTTAGTATTTTTTTAAGCATAAACATAAAATTGTTTTAGCACCATATTTTGGAACTATTTTTGAGAATAAATATTAATAATTAATAAATAATAAATAATTATTAAAAACCAATTAAATTAAATAAATAACATTTCATAAAAAAATCTTTACATTATTTTTGTACTAATTAAGTAGAATTATAAGTTAGTAAGTACCTTCTTAATAGATTAAAATGATCAGAATTCGTAAAAATTTGGCAATAAAACATTTTTTAATTATGAAACAATACAAATTTAAATTGGTTGTAAAACAATACAGGGGTAGAAAAGTAATAAAGAAAATCACTATAAATATTGTTTTTTTGAAATATAAAAACAAATAATGAAAATCAAATATAACAGTAATTTAAAAAATTGTAGGATTTTACAAAATTATATTCAAGTTGTGTTCCTATTTTTAAACACATTAACATATAAAATAAAGAAGTAAATTGTGTTAAAATTTTGAATAGTGTAGAATTGAAAAATTAAAGAATACAAAGACGAATAGACGTTAAAAAGGTTTAAAAGTTTTAAAATTTAATATAATATTACAAAAAAGTAACTTGTTATAATGTTGAAAATTGCCCTTATTAATAAAAATAAATATTTTTTAATACTTTGGTTCTGTTAAATTAATAAAATATAAATAAAATAAATGACATGTCACATTAAAAATAATTTAATTTTTAAAATCAGTCTCAGAGGTTAAGTAAAATTAATGAAATAGTATTTATTAATGTTTAAAATTATTGTTAGTTTATTAATGTTGCAAATATAAAATTATAAAAATATATTACACATTTTGTATTAATTAATGATAAGTGTGTACTTCTCGGCTAACAGTTAGTTGATTTATCAATATAAATCTGTGGCTTGGCGAAAAATGAGCCAATGTAAAAAAAACAAAATGTATTACAATAATAATTATAGTCCTATTTGAAAGACCAAAATAGAGGGTGGTTAGATGAGATTGAATGAAAATGATATAATGATAGTTGGTGCGTGCAAGATGGGAGATTGGGTCAAGTGGAAGTTTAGAATGAGGGTGGCTGACTCTAAATAATTGGGATGAAGGTGAAGGAGAAGAAGAAAAATAATTAAAAACCTGATGTTAGATTTTTGGAAATAAATATATTTTTTTCAACTTCCAATTATAATTTTCAATATTGTTTTTTTTTTTGCACCAAGCCACAGAAAGTGTCATTGTATTAAAACCTAATCATGAACTTATACGCCGCATGCCACACTCAGTGCAGAACTTCACATCAGCAATTGGATATTTAAACCCACATTCGTGACAAAATTTAGCAGTTTTCATACTATGTGTTAAATAGTTTTCAGTAGTCATCTGCTCTGATTTTCTACTCAAGCTGTAACAGATAAAAAAATGAATAAATTAATAAATTAAGAGGAAATAGTATATATAAGATATTATTTCAATATTCTATTCAACAATTTAAATGTTTATATTACTGTGAAAAAAGAAATTAATTTTAGCACTAAATCTAAATGCAGTGGTAAATGAACGCATATTTTTACTTTTTAGCAGTTAGGTAGTTTGAATATTTATGAACTAAAAATTTAAAATATAATGACACCAAGTATTAAATTGTAGTACCTATACAAATTTACTTGACTATGTTAAATTAAACAAACACAAAATAATTAATAAAAATACGGATATACTTCATACGATGAGTGAGCCATTATTACAGGTGTGATGTTAGGAAAGTAGAATACAGAGGGAAATTTAATGTATATCTGTATATAACAATTAATCATTGCTAACGAATAATGATTCTAAGCGAAGTTTTCTGTCCAAATTTCAAGTTTCTACAAACATTTTAAACTGAATTACAAGAAAAACAAAATTGAAAATGAGCATTATTCTGAAAATGTTTTGGTTAAATGCTAAGGAAATCAAAAAATGACTTCTCTGAAGTAATAACTAAATAAAATTTAATAAAATAACACATGAAAATTAAAGCAAGATCTCTGGTAGACATTTTGTAAACAGTAAAGAAAAAAAAAATTAAACATTGTAAAATCAATTTTTCACTTCACTCAGAATCTAAAAAGTTTATTCAACAATCGCATACCTATTATAATTATATAATGTGTACAATTTCAAAGATAAATATATTTTTAAAATATATACACATAAGGTCTTCTTTTTTTTAGTGTAAGCATAAGAATATAAAAATATGTTCCATGAAAATAGAATAACCTAAAGTGTCAGGAAATCAAAACTATATTGATAAACATGTGAATATTAATAATTCTTGAGAGGCTTATTTTTATACACCTATACGCAATAAAACTTATATTTTAGATTCTGAGTGGAGCGAAGAAGCTTATGGTTTTACAATGATGATTATTAATTTTTTTTTATCAGTTAACAATATTTCTACAGGTAATTTTGTATTAATGAATATTTTAATAATTAATAAATAAAAATGTGTATTTTTATATAATATAGTTATATAGATTTTCATAAAAAGAACTCTTATTTTATTTAAAGTATATTCAACTTAAAAATGTTGTTACTATTGGAGTGAAATGCACTATATAGTGTATTAAAATTTTAATGTGTTATTGTGTTAAAGACAAATTTGAATAAAAATTTATTTTCTTTTAATAATTTAGTGTAAAAAATTTAATATTTTGAATTACAAGATCAATTTTATATTATAATTACAATGAAATGTATTTTTTAGCGTTGCCCATACTGTAACGTAACGTTCTGAGTTTTGCAAAAGAATTGTNAGAAAATTGTGTATACAATATATTAATAAATATATTATTTATAAGAGTTATTAAATATTATTTTTTTTAATAAATGTTCACTTTCAAATAAAATAAGCAAAAAAAAAATTAACTTGTGTTATAGTGCTATTATTATAAAACTAAAATATTAGATGTGTTGCTTAAACAGCCGAAACAGTTTATAGTCACAGCTAAAATGACCAGGCAACTAAATAGAATTGTTGATGGCTTTACAGTATATATGTTATCAAATTCTAGTTAGTGACATGGATGCTCGGCTATTTAGCATCATTTATATTATTATTAAATATTATGTTAATAATTTTAATGTGTTAACTACCCGTGTTAGACTGATTTTCATATAAATCAGTAAGTGTCAGATTCCGCTCGAAATCTGGTCAAACCGTGCAAGTGCCCCACGACATTTTGAAACATTGTTGATCGCTCAGGCCTTACCTTCCGTAAGCCGAATCAGCACTGCTATTAATATTTATACCATTCATCATACTAAGAGCAGAAGTCCTATTGAATGACGGTGATACTATGTCATCATCATCTGTTAATTTTAACAAGTTTTCAAACTCAGATACTGATTTCAACAGCTCTTGTTCAGCCAGGTCAAATTTAAGATTTGATTTATTTTTGTTATTATCGCCATATAGCATATTTTCGATAGCTAATTGCTTTTTAGGATTGAGAATAACATTTCGCTTTGAGGGACTTTTTGGTGTTTCTATACACTGCATTACATCATTTTGAGTTTTATTATTAAAATCAGCAGATTCAATGCTAACAATAGAACACAAACTTAAATTGCTTAAACTATGTAACGGGTGATTGTTGAGATTAGTCTCGGTGTGAAACTCATCAGAATATAAATTTTCAACATTATCCGGAGTCGTCAACAAAGAATTTGGAGAATATTTGACAAACGCAGACATTGGAGATATTTGAAGATTTTCAATATTATCTGTTGGAGTACAATTCAATGGATTTTTAATACCAATGTCTACAGAGTCTAATTCGAGTTCTTTCATTTGGCGTTCAGCTGATTTGAATGGATCATAGCTATCCAAATGAGGTTGTCTGAAACAATTATAATTACAATTAACAAACAATATAATTAGCATAGACTAATATTGACCATTTTAAATAAGCTGAATTGTGTTGTTATGGTTAAAAATTGTATAATAATTAATTGTTATGTATTATTAAAAAGTATAATATTATATTTGAAAAATATAATATTATGACCAAAATTTCTTATTGTTGATATTATTTTACTAAGATCTGTAGTTATGGAATTGATGGCTTTAAAAGTAAATTTTATTCCTTAATATAATCAAGGTTAAAACAAACATATTACATATTAACAAGCTACAGTTTAGTGTCAATTAAAAATAAAGTGAGTAAGTACTTAATAAAAAATATAGTATGGTACCAACATGTATCAAATGGTAGAAAAAATAAATAAATATATGAAAATTGTGGACTGCGACTAATCACTACTGACAAACAAAACACAGACTGCAACGTAAAAAAAATTGTCCGAAATCCGAAAGTAAACATCATCGATTGTACAGAAATATTTAAATAATTACCTTACATTTGTCGCATTTTGATATAATGAATTAATTACAAAAACAAAAAGCCCTAGGATAATGGGAACTGGTGCAGCCATTGTTATAGGTAATTTAATGTATACTTGTAAGCAATGATAAAACATTGAACAAAAATTGAAGCAAGTTCTCTGGTTCTTTTATTATTTTTTTCCTGTGAAAAATATTCTACTAGAAATCCTACTCATAGATACTTATCAAGGTAAAAGTTTAAAAGTGTAGCACTCTATCTGAAATATAGTTAGTAAATTTAGAGAGGTAATTTATTGATTTTTCAAGTGGTTTTTATAATAAATGGGAAAATATACGTAAATTTATAAAAGAAACTTCACTCTGAATTGTTTTTTTCATTACCAATGGTTTACCATTGCGAACAGATATAAATTAAATTGTTCTCTATATCCTACCTTTCCAATATTGGATCAAATACAGTAGGTATAAAAAATAAAAAGAGCTAATACTGGGGACGGGTGCAGCTACTCTTGTAATTGAGTAGTTGGGAAAGTTGGATAAATAAAGTTATTTAGTTAATACCTATAGACAATGAAAAACTTTTTTTTTTTTTTTGCAGGACTAAGATAAAATATTTCAAGTATACAAAAATTAACTTATTCAACTTATTTCAACACAAATTATCTTTTTTTTTCACTCACGACTTCGACATATTTTTTTTGTCATAATTATTGATAGTTTGAATAGTTCCTCGTTTTAGTTGATTACGAGAACTAAGCATATAAGCAGATTCAGACTTTTTCATAATTGTGTCTTTTTTCACAACTACTGGTTTTTGAGGTAAGTTTATCGCATTCCTATTACTAAGAGAGGATTAAGTATTATTAAAATGAAATAATAAAATATATATTATAACAACAACATTTACCCATAGAGACTTTTTGATATTTGATCTTTATTTTTTAACACTGAGGAAGATTGACGAGGGATATTGGCTGTAAAAATAAATAAATATATATATATGTATAAAAAAAAATATAAATATGGTATTTTATTTGTTTATGTAACTATACTTAGGTATTATATGTGCAGTACCATTTTTGTCTACACAGTTAATGACAGAGTTCTATATTTAAATATTGCTCTTCCTTTAAAATAACATATGTTTTATTATAAAGTTTACATACAGAGAGAAAATACAAATAGATATTTAAATATAACTAATACAATGAGATCTCTTTTAGCTGTTTAAGAAAACAAATTATTTTACATCTCCACTACTATAGTACAAAACAAATGTTCAATTAGGTATGTTAAATTAATACTGTCTTAAATTACATAATAATTTTTATCATTTTAAGAAAAGTCCTTTCGTAAATAAAACAATTGAATGTCACAAATTTACAATACACATTTTTAAATATTGAATAAGTAAGTTACACCCAATCCAACTTAAGAGCATACCCGGCAGTGGATGAAAACACATCCGTTTTCCCACTACAGGTTATCGGTACCACTTCATTGACTCAACCGCCTATCTTGCCAACGCTCATACACATGATATACAACATATGTAGAGAACAAAATATTGATAACATTTTATTTTAACGGCTTAACAGCATACATATATATTCTCACACAAATGTTGTTTTAATTTGAATAAACGCTATAATTATCTTTTAAGTAATGTATTTTTTCTGTGTTGCCCATTAATTTGACTGAAATAGTATAGGTATGCGTGTATATTACGATTTATTTCGCGATATGTATTATAGATATTATAATTTGCTGTATACATGACGACAGCGCGCAGCATACAGAATTGTACAATCAGTAACGATTGTTTCTGATCTATAAAATAGGGAGTCCGGCAATGTTCAGCTGTCAGTCACGTATGCGCAAAAGGGAATACTCTTAAGTTGAACAAGGTATATATGTATTATATTGGGGGAAGTTTTAATAAATTTAATATTGTATAAAATACTTCTAAAGCTTAGGCATAATAGATATTAGACACACTTAATAAATTATACTTACACAGACTTCCATTTGTTGAAGGATTTGGTTTTTTTACATTTTTTAATGGTTGTATCACTTTCAATGTCCTGCTTGAAACATCTTGAGCAGAAATTTTATTTTTTGGAGAATATTTCTCTTTAGTAACTGTACGTTGTGATTTAATAGGAGGCACCCGGTACTAAACATAAACAATTAAAAATAATTATCAAAATTAAAAGCTATGAAATAATTTATTTAAACAAAAATAAAAAAAGATAGGCACATACTTATAAACTAAAATCTTTTAAATTAAACATGATATACACTAACTTTTGTTCTTGCTTCAAGCCGTTCTTTGGCCGAAAGGTTTATTACCGGTGCAGAGGGTCTTCTTTGAGCTTTTTCTCTGCAAAATTCTACATGTCTATCATATGACTTTGGTCCAAAATTACGCATACAGTAAGGACATGTTTCACAATCAACAGGTTTTGATGGAATAGATTTATTATCATTTTTTTCGCCTCTTGCTGATTTTACAGCTCTGATAAGCTCTTCATGTTTATCTCTCCAGTTTGTTTTAGGTTTCACAATAATGGCGTATGGATCTTGTTTTTGTTTCATTATTGGTAAAAATGCGGCCATTTCAGTACCTTTGATACGTTGTTTAGATGAATCGAATGGTACTTTACGCTTTTTGGCGTTTTTTTGACATATAGCCGAATGACGTGGTAATAAAGTTGGACGAAATGAACGATTACATATTAAACAAGGTAACAGTTCAATAATATCATTTTCTTTTGGATATTCTATGGCAAAACATAAACACAATCATATTAATTCAAATTAAAATGTACTCAATTTTAACAAATTAAATATTATTAAAAATATGTATTATAAAAATGTAAAACTCAAAACAGTAGTTTAAAATAGATACCTATATAATTCAATAATTATGATATTTTTGAAATAAGAATAAACCAATAATATCAAATTAAAAGGAAAATATTTAATTTAAAAAGGTATTTATACGTACATATTAGAAATTTGTTAGGTACCTACCTAAAACATTTGCAAAAAGAGTATATTAAAAGAAATAGGTAGGTAGGTACTGTCATTATAAACAGGAAATACCTCGGGAAATCAAATTATAAGACTGAATCAAATTTATGTTAGGAACCTCAAAAGCATTATAAGCAAAATAAAGTGAGTAGTCTGAAATTCCCTAAGTCAAATTAATAAATTAATCAAGTCGCATTGAAATATAATATAGGTAAATCTTATATTATTGATTTTAGAATTCTAAAACTAATGCTTATACCTAGGTAGGTAGGTACCTAAGACAAGTTAAGATTCTGAACAAAGCAATGATTCTATTAGATTCTAATATATTATGTGTTTTTTTCAGTCATTAAACAACTTTTCTACTATAAATTGTGCTCCAATCATCAGATTCAAAAAAAGTTTCTAGTAGAAAATTTAATTTAATTTAGATGGGATATTCTTCCCATATTTTCTGGAATATTACCAGTTTATGAACTGTCTGAACTCCCATGTCTTAGGAGTTTTGTACTATTCCATAGCCATGTCTTGTAATTGGACTTAAACAAACACCTACTGGGACTAACATTCAAAATCAAATGGATTCATTTGTTTAAGTATATATGTAACATTAGTATGTATACTAATTTTGGATTTTTAATTTTTCATACCTTTCTGATAGGACTTTTGGGTAATGGAAATAATGTCCAAATATTAAAAGCATCTTAGGTAATATTTGTTTGGTTATTTACCAAGTAAATTATTACGTGATTGGATATTAGATTCTGAGTAAAGCAAGGAATGTACTTCATTTTTAAATCGCTTTCCACAAACTATCTATACTTTTAGATCCTGCAGCAACAAGCCAATCTTCAGTGGATATGCCTGATCTGGATAATTGCTTAAAAGGTAGACCTAATTAATAGAAATTCTAATTTACGGAGTACAAAAGGTGATTATTTTATTATTAACCAATTTTTTTTTTTTCAGATGATTTTAAGTGAATTTGATTTCTATTTTTAAATCTTTATGGAATCGTTTAGGCTTTATTTAATATTATTTTTACACCTCTATTCTACTCTATTCCTTATTTGTGAGATCAAGAGTTTTAAATAGCAAAACTCCTTCTTTCAGCTGAAGACTTATAAAGAGAATATTTAGCTAAAAATTTTGATAAGCATAACACTAATATGAGATTTATCTTTTAATATTTATTAGTTTAAAGTTTAAACCGGAGGATGAGCCAGAGGAATATAGAAGAGATTTAAAAATAGCTATGCAATTTGTTACCCTTTCCTACTTCTCCAGTCTAATTGTTATAAGCTATAAATAACTCATAAACAGTAGGTAAATCTGATATTAAAATGAAATCATAATATACCTTATTGGGCTATATATTACAATGTATAATGTAATGATTATGATTCAATATTTAAATGGGCTATAATATAGGTAATTTCAAAGATATATATAAAATTAATATCTTGTAACTTCTAAGGACTTCATAGAATACTCAAGTATATAAAGTAATAGGTAGAAAGACATTAACAATATATATTTTTTGTTGATTGATCAGTTTAATGCATGAAATAGTGTATAACTTAGATTTATATAAGGACTTCTAATATAATATAAAATAAGTTAGTCGATAGGTACCTATACTATATTATTATATCTGTTATTGCATAATATAAAAGTCTGAAAATACTAGAGGCACTAGTATACATACCTACATTATTTAAATAGGTACCTACTTTTCAATTTTGGTTTTCTATAATATTAAAAATGTATAAAATATACTATTACCATTGGTTTTATAATATATTATCTAAAATAAAATCAATGGTACTACATTTTTTTTTTTTTTGCTGTGCCTTATTTTTTCTAGATTCAGTACTTTAGATTCATGCAAAAGAATATTTTCTTTTAGTTTCAAAACGTTGTTAGGTTATATTCTATAAATTTAGGAGTGGATATTGTGTATTAAGTAGCAAACTACTGCAGTATATATAAGCGAAATGATAGATTATAAATATATTAAAAAGAAAAACGGACAAACAAATTTTTTGGGAAATTTGAGTGAAAAACATAAAATACGACCTACGTGTAGAATGCAAACAGACTAGACGATTGTTAAGTAGCGTAGAGACTGCCTGAAATCGACCTTGGATTTTTCGCATCCCAAACAGCGATTTATCAATATTCTAGAAAAAAATGAATAAGTATAATCATAATGATAATAATAGGTACTAGGTAGTGGTTGGATAATAAGAAAGCTTAAGAGGAAGTTTGTAATAGAATAATTATTAATATAATATAATTATTATGGGTAGGTGGTCCTATATTATACTATAGAGACGAACTATCTATGCTGGATACAATCTCCTAATTACACGATAATAACTCATAGCCTTTCGTATACCTACGTTCAACAAAATAATAGTATTATTACGTTACCTTCGTCGTAACTCGTGTGGTCCATTTTTGGAAAGTGGATCTTGGCGGACGGCGACGACGAAACCGTATAGATAACGTAGGCAGCACGATTCACGGTTAACACTGACTAACGAATACCTATAGGAAGAACGAAAAAGAATGTTAACTAAGCACGTTCCAAATAATACAAAATTAATACAACAAACGGCACAAATAGCTTAGCAACACGGACGATATTGTTAAATCCATAGCGGTGGAATGAACCCAGAAAAAAAAAAATCGATAAATAAATATTACACTCTGCGCGGGTACCTGTGACGGATTTTAATCGGTGATTGTAACAGCAAACAAAAAAAGGAAATCTTCGGGTAATAAAAATCCGCGAATCGTGAAAAATAATCTGTGCGATTACGCGGACCAAACGCGGACAGCACAAACACGGTTGCATATTATCGCAAACTGAAAGTAAAAACTAAAAATGCCGACTGCTGAAAAAAAAAACAATAACATTACGATGACTGATTATACGACCGTGATACGAGGATAAGAACGGGGGCTAGACGTCATGTTACCACACGCCAGTCGTCGTCACAGTGCAACCAGCTCCAGCCGTACGGTTTTGCGGTCCGGCGGGACGAAAAAAAACCGTTATAGGTAGGTACCTAACCTAGGCAGTAGCGCGCTGAACATTCTTCATGCTCGGGGCAAAACAAAAAATATATAGTAATCAAATAAATATACAAATAAAAATAAAATAAGTAAATGAATCAATGCGTAGCCTGGAGTATTGTGATAAGTGTATTAATACGACCGGTTTCGAATTAACGATTCATCATCAGATATATCACAGTCCAAATGTAACACGCGACTGAATATAAAAAATGGAGGAATACATAGAGAAAAAAAATTATTTACAATTGGTCGTTTTACATAGAATACAGAAATAATTTATTTTAATGGGAGAGATAATTTATAATTAGTTATTATTAGACATAGATATGTTAAGAAATATAAATTATTTGGTTATTATTTATTATCTAAAATGCATTGATATAAGATATTTTTAAAATCGGTTTGAACATTTAAACTATTATTACAATTTTTTCTTCTTTATTTCATTGTGTATGTAATTCTTCTAAAACTGAATTAATGTAAATGTTATTTTGGATACTTAATATTCTAAGTCTGTATTAATATCAAAAGTTATATTATGGTTATTTTCTATAGCATGTTTGCATGTTAGCGAAATTTGAATTAGGGGCTATCTTTTTAAATTTCATTTCAGAAATGTGTTCATTATATATTATTTTAGCATTTCTATTTGTCTTACCTATGTAAAATGTATTACAGTTACATTTAAGTTTATTTAAACCAGCATTTTCAAAAGAAGAGGGATTTTTTGTGAAGTTTTTAGTCTATTGTTTATGTGTTTGATTAAATTACTATTAGACTTAAAAGTGATTTTTACATTATTTGTATTATTGTTCAGAATTTTAGCGAATTCGTTAGACATATTATTTTAATATTTCATACTACAATGGTTAACAACATTATTTGGTGAGTTGTGTATTTTTTCTTTAATGCGTTTGTGCCTTTTTTTATAGTATTTAAATTAAAATTATTTCTATGGGCTATATTATAGATAATATTGAACTCGTGTTGACAATTATGTTTATTTAATGAAATGCGTTCAAGCCTATAAAATATTGAATTAATAAATGATGTTTTTTGAGAATAAGGGTATTTTTTTGTTGATAAAAGAAATTTTAATGTCAAATTTTGACAAAAATTGTTTGAGTAAAAAATTTTGTGGAATAAATCTAATTTTTCAATTTTTTTTTCTTTTTGAACACATGCATATTGCCTGTTTAAGAATGATGGTGAAGTCAGAATTAAGTGAATTGACTAAATTTCGATATTATAGCTTTTTTAAGTTCTGATATTATGTGGATATTATATGTTATGTTAAATAACTGTATGCTGTCCTTCATAAAGCATATTTCTCGTGATTTAGTGGTTATTTATACCTATTATCATCCTAGGGTTTCCGAGTTCAAACCAGTGTGTCGAAAAAATTGTTTCCATTTTTTTCCCTTTTACTTAAGCAAGGAAAAAACAAATACATTTTAGATGTACCTCGAAACCCAAACCATCGTTATCTAGGATTATTTAATCGTAAAATACTCCTCGATTTGTTGAGTAAACTTTTAACCAGAAATCTTGCTCCAGTGTATCAAGTGTAGCTTATTTTCTGATTTTATCTGAAACCACGTCTAGAAAAGGCAAATAAAAGTTTTTGTCTAAGTTTAAAGACACTGCGAATATTTTCACCTGAATCAGAACAAAACAAAAATTGAAAATAAATAAAAATGTATTTTTTTAAATTTTCTCGTTCTCCCTACGTAAATTCGTATCTGAAACTTCTCGAAGAATGATTTACAGATCGATATTATCGTTTTATCAATGTTATTATAGCCGATATTTCTGGTAGTTTTTTTTATAACTTATGTACCTATTACTAAATTTTAAATTCAACTTAACTTAAATTGTGGATTTGTTATCCTCATCATCATCAAGTGATGATGAATTTACTACTGAGATGATGACCACATTACTAAGGCCAAGATATATCCGGTATAGATAGAATCTACCGATTTAGTTAGAGGATGTAGATTTTAAACAACGATTCAGATACTAACCTAATGGCTAATAAAAAAATAATAAAATAAGTTTTTTTTTTGGCACAAAGATGCCACAGTTTTATTACTTATCATTGTTCAAGGGGCTCGGTTACCTGCTCGAGCAAGATAGCGGTTATCTTCACCGTGGTGGTTCAGGGTTCTCAAATATAAATGGTTATTGTATTTGGTAACCATTGTTATTATTTTAATTTACACATTCATTACATATTTGTTTGTGCAACACTATTACATGCTACAGAGTCATTATTATAATTTACAGGCGTTTGTATATTACAGACGTCTATAAAATATTTTTCCAGAACGTTTGTGCAATCTGGCCTTAGACCATGATTTCTGTACTACGTACGTTGTACATATTATAAATTATAAACGACTCGTAGATTCGTAGATATAAAAATGTCTACGATACGTCAGTTGGAATAAAAATACATACAAATAGAGGATAATGCAACGCATTAGGTGGCTATAAATATAAATGGACCACACCGTCTGTTTCGTTCAACCGTTGACTATAGTAATATAATGGCAGTATGGCACTATAAATATCTGTACATTGTATTATTTAATATTATAAAAAAAAAAAAAAAAAAANGGAATTAGAATTTTCAAATATTTTCAGGATTTTAAAGAACTAATGCGAATCCATGGAGTACTGTGACTGTGTTGGTTATTGTAGATATTTATATTGATATTGGTTATGGTAGATACCTACCTATATAGTGTATTTTATACTCAAACAAAGATTTCGTAATGCAATCGATGATTTACCGGAACAATAAAAATGTTCGACAAAAATATCCATTAAATTTGTTGTCCATAATATTATTTGAATACAAACACGATTTCGGTTAAAATATTGATCGACTGATTCAACGATTTAACGTAAACAAAAATTCCTCAATAATACACTTTTAAGTTTACGTAAAATGTTCGTGTTCTCTAATATTTGTATAGTTGTGTAATACGATAATAATTGTACCGCAGTTGTCAAATAAAAAAAATCAAAGCGAAAAGACTCGACGTTCAAACGTTTGTTTTCGAGATTTATTAATACGAAATTTGAAAAGAACGTTGCGGAGTTCCGTCCGAATAAACAAAATAAGGCTTGTTAAAAAAAAAAAATAATAATAATAATAATAGTGGTTTTGTGGCTTGATCATCTAGTCCTCCTATTGTCGTTATATTCTGGGTGGCAACTAAAAAGAGAGTATAATAATTACTTGATTAATTGAAAATTAAATAATATATTCATCGATACATGATGGTTAACTATGGCAGTATGTAATGGAAAAGTTTAAAATCTACAACGATCATTTGATTTTCTAATAACGGTCAATGTTCTTTATTATAAGTATATAAAGCGATAATAATTATATAAAATTCGAAATTTATGATTCTACATGTTGCCTATAATACGATTTAAGGAGGGATTTAGGAAATTAGGCAATGAGGAGAGCTAAAAAAATAACTTTTCATAATATATGATAAAAATGTATTTTTAATATGAATTACATGACGGAGTAGTATTTAACACTCTGCTCATAATAGGTTTTTAATTTTAATGATTTGCAACTACACCCAGAGAAAACGTTAGTTTAAAAAGAACATCTTGGGTTAAACAAGTTTGAGAAGCACTGACATAGGTATTATTTAGTTAAATAAGTTCTATACCGTGTACGTAATTTTATACATTCAACAACTTTGGATATTGTTTCGAACGAACCCTCAAAGTTCAAATTTAGATGCTAATTCAACTATCCAAAAAATAACTAAAGCAAAATATTTCAGCATATTAATGTAGTTGTAGTATAATATAATTTAGTTGATAGTTATGTATATCTATAGTCATTTTAGTTTGTATAATAAGATAAACGCAAGTTTATCAGAAGAATGCGCAAAGGAAAGAGGTCTAATTTCAAAGACAACAAGAGGAAACGTCATCGTTTAAAAACTTCATTCAATGATGAACAATGTTGTTCTCTAATATTACAATTAAGGAGCTCGGTTCCAGCGCGCTTTTTGACTCAAAAATATTTTTTTATAGGGAAAACTCTCATGGTTCGTAGAGTAGTCTGATTTCGATGATTAATTTTTTGTTGTAAAGACAAAGATGTCCACAGCTCATATTAAACTCCGTTTTTCAATATTTTTATTACAATGTTTATAATATGTCTTAAAAAGAAGTTAATTTATAATTTATTTTTACTAACATTTTTATACCATTATTTTTAATCAAGGATTCATGAACTTCAATTTTACAGAGTGAGCTATAAAATGTTTTTTCTCAATTAAAATCGAATTTAAGATAAATATTATGCTAACAATGAGTTATCCTTTTTCTCACAGTCATTTTCGTTAGCAAAAATAGTGATACTCATTCTTGCTAATTAGGTATCGGATAGTAGATCAGTGGACAAATCTTATCTTTATTGTAGAACTTGCATAAATCATCGCCATCTAAATAAAGCTCTTCGGTTTCTAAAATTAAATTTTTCCCATAGGTAAAATATCAAGGTACCTACTTCATATTACCATCATATTATAAAGTTTATCAAATTTTATACTGCAATATTAACAAGATATTGAAATAATTTATGTAGTCGGTATATATGGAGAAAACAAATTTTAAACTTTGGCTCGAGCGGAATACGGTTAGGTTAGGAGATGTTTGACTATAATATGCATATATTAAATAGAACCTAGGTTACAATAACTAAAGAGAAAGGTTAAAATGTTTCAACTTGCTGAGAAGCAAAAGGTATATTGAAAAGTATAAAAACATTAAAAACATCATTATGTCAATATTTTGGATATATTAGAACGGTTTAATGCATGCAGTAAGAAACTGTAGTCAATTCAAATTGATTTTGGTATTGTGGTAGAAATTTAACATTCATTGATAGGTTTTGTTCACGATATTCGGCGTGATTGCTATGTTTAATGATTACAAAACTCGAGCAATTGAAAAATGTGACATTTCAAGTTTAAATACAAATACTAAACGTAAAAAAAAACGTAAAAAGTTTTTTGATGAAGGAAACAGTAAGGAACATGTTTTGATGATGAATTTGAAAATTTTAAAATAAATACTTATTTTATGATACTAGACCATTTTAAATTTGATTTAGAAAAAAGGAAAATTGCCTATGACAATTTAACTTCAAAGCATTTTTTGTCAAAACTAACATCTGCTGAAATTCAAAGAATTCTGAATCATTGCAAAATATATTCAAAAACGATTTAGTATCCTCATTTTCTGTAAAATGTGTTCATTTCCAAAGCTATGTTAAAAGTTTAAAAAAACAAAAATGTGTTTTTCCAAAAACAATTTTACAAATTAGTATTTATATATAAGAAACAACTACCTTGTAGAAGTCTATTCATGTTTTTACATTGCATTGGAAATGATACTCTGTACTCCAGCTACAAATTGTTCAGCTGAACGGTTTTTCTCTACACTAAAGAGAGTTAAAAGCTATTTAAGATTAACAATGAAAGAAGAAAGACTAAATGCATTAACTGTTCTCAACATAGAATCGGAAATCACAAGAGAATTAGACTACAAAGATATTATTGAAGATTTTGCCAATAAGCAATCTAGAAAAAAATTATAATCATTGTACCTATAGTATATAATCATTTATGTAGATTTTTTTTTTTGCCGTGTATAATATATGTTGTTAAACCAACATTTTAATAATAGTAACTAAAACATGACAAATTGACAAATTAAAGCGAAATAAAGAATTATAACTAAAAATGTATTAAGAAAAATCAATATAGTGGATCTATTTTTAATGAGGGTGGGGGGGGGGCGTACAAATATGGTTAACCCAGGGCGCACAAATTATAAATACGACCCTGATAGCACCTATCTATAAGATGTATTCTTGCGCTTCTCTCTTATTACGGTTGGATACATTTTGTACGGATAGATCAAACAACTGTAGCGGGAGTGTCCTATAATAATATAATATGCATAACGTATAAGTGAAGGTTAATTATTGTAGTCGATGAACTAAATTAACAGCCGAGACAATACAATTGTAGCTGTAATGTTGCATATAAGACGACGATATATGTAATATAGGTACTTAAAGCTTGTTTCTATTTGGATCCGAAACACGTGTTTTGTGCGACTCAAAATCAAGTATACGAGTAGACAGTTATTTTGGTGTGCATTAAACGTTTTAGCGACAGTTGAAATCGACTGTCTATTAATAATTATTATTACAAAAGCTATACATTTTAGATTTTGAGTGGAGAGAGGAGTGTATTTGTTTTACAATGATGTTTATTTTTTTTTTCTGTGGACAACTTTTTTACTAGCAATTTTGCTAAACCTAACCGAACTCACTCAGAATTATTTATTCGTTAACAATGGTTAATCGATATATATATATATATATGTATATTAAATTTCTGCTCTACCTATCAAACTTTTCACCTAATAACAGTGGTCCATCCACGTGCGAAATATATCTGTCTTCTTAATTTTGTTGTTAATTTTAACACATTAACAGACACTTGTAATATAATTTTTACTGTTATATTAGGAAGCTATGTCTGCATCTAAAATCTATGTAATTTATCAGTATAGGCTGGCGTAATGTGGCAGTCCACTGTCTTCTATGATTTAATACCATTGAAAAGATTACTGCTTTCGCAGTATTGACGTAATATGACATTTCACATATTACTGCTATAGCAGTAATGTCCGTCAATATGTTAACATTTATTATTTTATCAGGAATGAGGTTTTATTTTTTCGATTTGTTTTTGGCTATTTTCATCACAGATATTTTTCTCTTAAACAATTTTAAAATTATAATTTTTGAGTGAATATTATGGTGGAGAAAAACGATAAGTGTTGTATTAAGAATAAGTATAAAATAAATGTATTGCAGAAAAAATATTATGGCCGAAAAGAGAAATAAGCCTGTACCCTAGAAAGATAACCGATATAGGTTATTTTTGAAAAATCTATGTAAAATGTTTTGAAAATGTCGTTTTTGTTTTATTAAAGTTAATTACAGTTTGAAACAAAAACAGTTATGTTAGTTAGAACAAAAATATGAAATATCGATAAGGCCGGGTTGATAACGGGGAAACACGTAGGTAGGGACACATTTATTTTTAATTGTTTTAAAATTTTTGTTCCTTCAATAATATAATATAGGTATTATGTACAGTCGCTCGGGGAAAGTCTTGTGAAATAGTAATTTATAAACAGACTTAATCGAATCTATAGATACTTACGCACAATAATTTAATGAAATTATAAAATACAAATATACATGGTTATCTATTCTGTTAAATTAATTTTTTTCAAGATCGATTATTTTTATGAAAAAAATAATTAAAAAAACGGCTAATAAATTAGACACGATCGTTTTTTGATTACTACTACATCACTATAAGTTATAATGTTAATAAATAAGACCAACATTTTTGTGTATTTGCATATCTTAATTGGTTGGTCATCAACAAATAATATTGTTCAAAATTATACATAGTCTTTGAAATATTAATTAATATTTGTTTAGAGCATAATATACAGAAATTCTGTATAATAATTATTATCTATATAAAATATTAAAATAATTTAGAATATGTTTTAGGACTTACTTTTGTCAGCCCTAGTAATAAATAAAGAAGCACACCAACGTTAATAAAACAGATTATAAATGTTGATACTTAAATGACGATTAATTGATTAATCGAGTCGAATTGAAATGACCGAACAGTCCTGTGTGTGTATATACATACTTACATAATATATAGGTAACTATTACAATATCGAAAATTCGCACAATTCGCGTATTTTGGCGTAGGCAGGTTATGTAGGTACCTACACGTGATTTTAATGATACACGCAGCGCATATGTGTCTCAAGACGTCGCGCAGTTCAATTTACTAACTGTTTTGAAAAAATCACGTTCATCGTCATAAATTGTGTACCCTTTACTGTGTATATAACTACTTCTAGTAGAAAATGTATTCCCAACCGTTAAAGTTGGTAACCGCCGGTAATAAGGGACCTATAGGTACCTAACCGTGGTTCATTATTTTCAAAGAGAAAACCTTTGAAAATACAATAATAATAAAACTCTTCACTTAAAAATTGTTTTTTTTTTTATATAGTAATAACATAAACACTTCATAATTTCGCAGACAATTTAATATGCTGCAAAAAAAATTTGTCTAATTAAATTGCTCGTTCGTTGGGAATGATGAATGGAGATCAGATTCCCGTGTTAGTTTATGGGAGCTTTAGGTATATTATCTCGAGTTCTTGAATATTTAAAAACAAAATAAAATATAAAATAATACAGCATATCAGTAGGCAGTGGCGTGCGCAGGGGGGAAGTTAGGGGTATGTCCTTTCATTGGCTTAAAATACAAAAACAATATGAGTAATCTAATGTTTAAATGTATTTATTTCAGCCAAGTTACGAGGAAAAACTTGACATATTAATTAGAAATTGGCCTGTTTAGGATCCGGCTATTAAATATAAATATGAAATAAGAACAACTATCTGCAGATTTCTGAATTCCTTAAAACTCAATGAGTAATGAGTTACTACCCGTAATATTCATTTAAAATATTAATATTGCATAAGTATGGTGCTCGAATTGTAACAATAAAACAAAAGGGACCATAATCTCTGTAAATTGCATAAGATTTACAAATACATTAGGGCCCCTTACAATTATTGAACTTATCATCATTAATTATAACGAGTTTTATCGTCTGTAACTCTAAAACTCAGTAAGATAGACTTATTTTGAATTCCAAAAATAAACTTTTTTTATCAAAAACTATATGTAAAAAAAAAATAAAAAAAAAAAAAAATAAAAAAAAAAAAAATTTAAATTTTGGATTATTTCTAAAAATGCTATTTTTAAGTTTTATCTACAAAAACTATAAAATTAAGAAAGATATGTAAGTTTTAAGTATACTAACGAATTAAGCATTAAAATACATCAATTTTGAAAATATAAAATTCGAACTTCAAAATATGCGTAACGAAAAAATTGAACTTTCTGAAGTTTTCCCCCATAATTTTCAAACCAAGTTCTTCTGGCCTTTTTTTAAATTTATAATGTACACGCAAAAACAAACATTTTGAAAAAAAAAAATTTAAAAAAAATCGCTAGTATGCTAAACTAGATCTTGGTCAAGAATTAGTAAACAAGCACAAATGGTTAAAATACAATAATTATTTACCATGTATTAATTAAACTTTTAAACATTAGCGATTCTAAAGAATTCAGTAATTTGAATGGTATTGGTTCTTTTTACCGACAATATGAAAGGAAATCTTCCTCATCTAATCGATTTTTCGGTTTTTCCCAATTATTTTAAAAACTGTTCGAGAAATCGACAAATGACAAAACCGTGCTATATTTGAAAATTGGAGCGAGATTTTTGGTAGAATTTTTGTACATATAAAAATATAAAAACAAACATCATTATATAACCAATATATTCCTCGTTCTCTCAGAATCTAAAAATCGATTAAAATCATTCACAAAGCAAAAGATTTGTCGCATAGCAGTTGCTTATAAGCATTATTGTTTTGTTTATCTGACAGGAGAATACGGTATACTACAAGAGTTATTGAAAATTTGATGCATCTCAATAATTTTGCAGTCTCATATTATTAAAATCTAGTTTATTCGATTTATATACTCACACAAGACGTATCTTAATTCTCCGACTTTGAACTTGAATTAAACGTTTTGTATCGAGAGTCAGTATAATATAGGCGCGGTTTCTTACGTATTTTCATTCATATATTACGTAGGAGTCATTAAGGTGTACTCATATAAATGAATAGACACACCCTTTGGCTAAAACTTTGTTTCACGCGATTAGTAGCACCACTCAAATTACACTCCGGCTCCCTAGTTATATACAGGGCTGGAGATAAATTCTCAAAAGACACTCATTCTTTTGAAAAGTATTTACTTTTTTCGGAAATTGTTTTTTCATGGACAATTTATGAATAAAGTTAGTTATGAATCAATAGTTTTTATCATTATTATTTTTAGGGGAACCTGCTTTTCATGTTCAAATGGCTACCTGTATTAAAATTTCCATAAATAGATGATGTTTTAGTTTAAATTAATTTTGGTGTTGAAATGTTTAATTTCCGTCAACCAGTTAACGAGATATTCTACTTTTACGTTTGAGTAGGGGAAGAGTTACTTCACTGGATTATCATTTGTGTGGGGACGTGGCGAGGGGTCTCTCAACAGTGCTCCACTATTTGCTGCCTAACCAAACTCAAAGAGGAATCTAAGGAAACAAACCTCATGAACGGGTTTTCTGAAATTAAAAATGCCAACGATTAGACGTATTCAAGCTAAAGCTCAATCTATTAGTGGAATTATTAATATTAATAAATATATATTATATATTAATATATATTAATAAATTATTAATAGGTTGCTAATAGAAATCAAAAGTAGGTAGTATTTTCACTCCCGAAAAGCCGGGCAACTTTGCACGTGGCTGCAGCCACTGTTGTAGGTGAGAAGTTGGGAAGTTAATGTATATCTGTAAGAAACGATAAATCGTTGCTAACAATAAAACGATTCTGAACGG